TGTGAGCCATTAGCTGCCAACACTCCTGGCAACTTGGGGGTTAAGTTTCTTGGTCCCCAAGGCAGGATCTGGGCGGTGTACCATAGCAACGATGACAGTACCCCCTTGAAATGGCTCAGACCTACATGCTTCGTGTGGTAAGCTGGCTTTGCGTGGAAATGACTCCTCCGGAATCCTGGTGATCGTTTTCTCTGGGAAACTTACAGGAAGGTAAGTAGGAGGAACTACAGCCCCCAGTTCACAAGCCCTTCCTAGGGATAATCTGCCTGGTCAGTGTGAGGATTCAAAGGTTCAGCCCTCTTGCCTCAGTCAGGGCCAGGTCTGAAGGGTCATCCCAACCCCAGAGCTCCCTGTGTGGAGGCGTCCTTTGTTGTGACTGCGTCAATTTATTCCTCGGCTCATTCCTGCCTCCTTCACCCCCTCAGATGTCGTGTTGTTTCTGAGAGCACCTCCCAATGAACTTTCTGCAGGCAGATCTCTTTCTCATAATGTTTCATGGGAAACCTGACCTAAGACAGTCACGCAAGTCACCAAAGATTCTAACCTTGGGGGCCCAGGAGAACAAATCTCATCTACCTGAAAGTAGACTTCCTGGCCACCTGTGTCCTCTAAGCCATGATTCCCTCCACCAGTCCTCACAGAGCATTGCGTGCATCCTACATCCTGGCAGTCCCCCACCAAAAGTCCTCCAGGCATGTAAAGCAACTAAGCCAAAGTCTCTGAGTACATCACACCAGGAATGGGAATGTGGCTGAGTCTTCCTTGGTTCTAGAGCCCTAACTGCGCCCTGGAACCAAGGGTGAAACCCTTTAGAAATCCAAACTCCTTACCTTCCTTGCCCTCACCCCACCTGCCCATCCCTGGTCCTGATTCAGAGGGTCTGGGTGTAGCAAGGAATACACAGTGTTACCAGAGCTTCCCAGGCAATTCTGATTGGTATCAAGGTGGAGAGTCACTGGGCTCAGTACTTGACTTCAATTCAGCAGCCTAAAAGACTGTCCGCGTTTTTGGCAGCCTTTTCATTTGACTCATATGGAGCTGGCTCTCGGCAAAAACCCTCAGTTTTATTCACACATGTTTCTGCTAAGCTGCCACTTCCCCACCCTGTCCTTGTACAGTTGGTGCCTTGGAGCAAAGCCCAGGCCTCTCAGTTAAGGTCACTCTGTTCATTTCACCTTTGAGGTTCAACCTGTTACCCCGGCAGGTTAGGATGTTTTGGGATCCTAAGTGTGTCTCCCAGCATGTCCCCTGTTCTCACTGACTTCCTGCTCTCCACAAAGTTGAGGGGCTTGTTCCATCACGGCTTTGCCCAGGTCTTGATAAAAAGGTGGATGAGGACAGAAATAAGGACAGAAGCAGTTGATCTTTCTGAGGGCTTTCCTTATGTGCAATGCACCATGCCCACCTGGAAAAGGACATCATCTAACTTATTTCACCACACTTAGGAAAATGGGTCCATTTCACAGACAGATAAGCAAAGTCAGAGAAGATGAGTAGTGTGTCCAAGAATACCTTGCTAGGGTAGGGCCAATCTTTTCCTGCCAGCTACAGTTCTTATCTCTGGGTTGGCTCTTCTGATTGGAAAGAGATTTTTAGAGCTGGAAGGAATCTCAGAAATGACTAAAAGCTTAACAGTTTCAAGAGCTCAGGTAACTTGCCAAGATCACGCAGCAAACCTTTCCTCTGTTTGAGATTTAAATCTGGGTTTGTTGAGAATGATCCAGTGTTCACGCAGCTACATTTCCAGATAAGTTTGATCCAAAATGACACTTCAAAAGGAAACATACTCAGGACTGATTCTTTTCCACTTCTAAATCCCAGATGGTTCCTTCTGTGATTCCAGAAGGGCTTGGTTTGGGAGGACAGGCAATGTTGTCCTCCTGGACTTCTACCAAGCACTCTTGTTTACCTCTCCTTTCTTACCTAAGGGATTAGAGCCTCAGCACCTGCTACCCAGCTTGTCCCTTCCTCCATTCACACTCAGCTCTTACTGTGCAGAGGGTGGCTAGATCTAGGACTATAGCTGGCCATACAGACAGGCTGATGGGCAGCTCCTGGTCCTGACTCTCAGCGGCCTCATCAGCTGCGAGGGCCATGGCGATGCAAAGGCAGCGGGAGGTTGGCACTTGACTTCTTGAGTTCTGGCTGCTTTGGAGGACAGCCTGCTTCAAGACTACAAGCAGGAGCACCCCGAACTCAGCCTGCCCTGGGAAGGTGGGTCTAGCCCCCAATCCACACAAACTGCTGGGGAATAAAAAATCCAAAGAACAAGTCAGTGAAGAACATATACTGAAGAAGTAATAAGAAATTGCATTTCTCCTGTCAGTGTCTGCTAAAATAATAATATCACAAGTGGTTGGGTTCATACAGTAGTGAATGTGGCTCCATGTGTCAGACTGGGAAACAGACCCCAGAAGAGGGAACAACACGAGCTCCTGAACCCCACTGCTTCACTAGGCAAATCATGGCATCGGGTAAGAAACTCACCTAACCTGACTCTCTTGTTGCCTGGTAATGGGTCACCTAAAGAGCTGAGTTCATCTTCTACCACTAAATTTCTCTGATGAACATGGTTGGGAGGCCAAAGCGTGAGGTCCCCTGACAAAGCTGCCAGGTGAGCAAGTGAATTTTAGACCTGCCTTTGAGGCTTCAGGCCACCAGCATCTCCCTAGAAGGCAGCAACGCGATGAACGTGAATTCTCAATGATTCGTATGGCCCAAAGCTTCCTCATGCCAAACTCTCCAGGGTACGTGTCTCCAGGGATCACAGCTGGCACAGACCCTCCAGCAACTTCCCTGAGGACTTGATTTCCCTTGATCCCAGCCTTTCCCCCGGAGGCACATGCTTTCCAGTGGCTGTGCGCCCAGTAGGGGGCATCCTCACCCTTCCACCTTCTGCCCTCAGGGGTGGATGGTGAGGAGAGATTGGCAGACAGCCTGGGGGGCCTCTGCTCCGCTCAGCCCAGGAGCACATTTCCTAAACTGGGTATTCATGCGGCCTCCTGATTTTCCCCGTATCCACTCTACCATTTATTTTATACAGTATTTTTCTTTGTCGATACATGTTTTTTAAAACCTCCAACGTGTTTTTAGAAGGAGAAAAAAAGCCGTCTGATGAAGGTTTTCCCATCTTCCCTCAATGTGTGAACTTCCTGCATTCTGAGGGCTGCTCTGCAGGATGCGGGCGGGCGGGGAAAGACAGGCCCCGTGGGAGCGACAGGTGGGGGTCTCAAGTGCTGGGTCCGGCCGGGGCCATCGCTCGGTGGAGGTGGGTGAGGATCTATTCTGTGGATTCAGAGCCTCAACCTTCAGAGCCAGAGAAGGGAAGACTTGGAGTACAGAATCCTGAACTCCCTGCCTCCCTGTGGCACCCCCAATCCTGCCTGTCCCTTCCCTTCCCCAGGATGAGGAAGAGAGAAGGAACTGTCTTTCCAGGCCCACAGTACAGAGAAGGCTGATGGCTGCAGGGCAGATAAGAGGGAGGGACATGGGTGCAGGACCAGGGGAGGCTGCAGGTGACAGGTGCAGGGGCTTTGGGGAGGATCAGGGATTTCCCTTGCAAAATCCATTCAAACAGACGGAGGGGGAACCTGATCCCAGGGAGGGAATCAGAGCTGCAGGGACACAAGAAGGGTCCCCAGAGGGGCCCAGGTTTGGAGAGATGGGGGAAGAGAAGTGGGGGACAGCAGGGCTTAGAGACGGAGGAGAGGTTGAGTATGAGTTCTGAGGGACGAGGACAAGGAAGCTGGAAGATGCACAAGCTGCTTCCACAGACACAGTCAGGCTGTGTTCCAGGCTCCACCCCAACAGTCTTAGGACTGCTCTCCTGGAAGGTATTTTAGCAGTCCGAGTCCTTAGCTCGAGTCCCCCCCGCCCCCGCTTCCACCACAGGCACACAGAGGCAGTTTTAGGACCTGAGTGAGAGTTCCCTAGTTGTCAGGGGCTGGCACGGAGACTCATGGTGGAACCAGGGGCAGAAAACCAGGCCCTGAGAGGGGAAGGAAGTCCCGGGTAGACCTCCCTGTTCCCCCAGTGGAATTAACAAAGCTGATAATCTGATCAGATTAAGCAAGGGGAAGTGGGCTGGCTGAGCTGGGTCAGGACTGAGCTCCCTGGGCTGGGCGGTGTTAGGTCCATGCACCCTGAGGAAGTACTCAGGCCCGAGGCCTCTCCAAGTAGCCCCCTGCCTCCAGTGTTCTCACCCGAGGCTCTGGGCGCAGAGCAGAGGAGGGAGCCCGTCAGGAGAGCCCACTGAAGGCTGGTGGCCAAGGGTTGCTTGGCCAGCTGTGTGTTGAGGGTGGCTGGCTGGTCAGTGGAGGTTCCAGGCACAGGGGACCAAGAGGAGAGAGTCACGTGTGGCAGGTATGATTGCCTCACTTGCACCTCATTTTCATGGGGAGGAAGCGTTGAGAAAGAGGAGCTGGGTGTTCAGCAAACTTTGCTTATTCAAAGCACTCAGTCCCAGCTGGACCCTGCCCCACGCTCAGCTCCCACCTCCAGGGTGGTCCCAGCCTCCTCAGGCTCTGGGAGAGACCTGCATGCCCTGACACCCCCCACCACCGCTTCTGCGGAGGTCTCTTCTCTGGTGACCTCCTTGCCTCCCTGCCTCAGTCCCTGCCTAGGCAACAGTGTCCCCAGCAGACCCCATATTATTCTGTCTCTAGTCCCCCAGCCACATCTAGGGAGCAGGGACTACTCCTGGGAGTGGGAGGCCCCTGCTCTAAGCAGACCAGGTCTCGTGACCTGCCTCACAGTCATGAACAACACAGAGAAGGAAGCCCTGAGCAGGAAGTGCTGAGGCATGGAGTGAGGGCGGGGGCTTTGAGGAGGGGAGCCCGGCCTCCCTGGGCAGAAGCAGTAACCACAGCCCCCCACTGCAGACAGGCGGGAGGAAGCTGATTTAAAAGGCAGCTGGGCCTCTGTCTGAAGCACTTAGCTCTTCACCCAGTAACTACCACCCGTGGGCTGTAGGAGCACCCAGACTTCCGGACCAGCTCAGGGCGGGTGCCATGTGAGCCCAGCTTGGCTCTCCTCCTGCCCGCCCTCCTCCTGCCTGCCTCTGCCTGACCCGTCTCTCCAAAGAAAAATACTTGGCACCATGTCTCTGCTCAACCCTGTCCTGCTGCCCCCCAAGGTGAAGGCCTATCTGAGCCAAGGGGAGCGCTTCATCAAATGGGACGATGTGAGTGGGGCAGGGGCTGTGGGCTGCTGGGACACTGGGGCAGCAGGGCTGGGCTGCTAGGGGCTCTGCCAGGGTGGGTGGGTTGGTTTATGTCTGTCAGGACTCAGGCGCCTCTGTGGCTTGGCCAGGCAGCTGACACAACTGCCTGCATAAACAAAGCTGGGGGGTTGAGGGCATGGGCCCCAAACATATGTCCCTGGGCTGCTGAAGCTGAGGCTCTGTGTTTGGATGTGAGGAACCGTTGGGCAGCCTGGGAGGAAGTTTCTCTCGGTCTGGGTCTGTCTTCCCCCAAAGCCCCCAAGAAGAGCACAGTTTGCTGCTCCTGTGCCCAGCCTTAGCAGGAGGAAAGCGTGCCCCAGAGCTGAGGCAGGGCCAGAAGCAGAGGGGAACTAGGCCTCTACTTCCAGCACAGACGCCCACTCTTGCCCCATTAGGGTGCCTAGACTGACATTGTCCGCCCCTTCCCACCTGGTCCTGGCCCTGGCCCAAGGAAGCCCTGCCCTCCCCTCAGCTGCCGGGGGGAAGCCACAGAAGGGCCCTGGACCCCAAGTGAGAACTGGAGGCTCTGTTCCCAAGGGCCTGGGAGGGAGCAGACTGACTTCTGCTTCTGCTGGCTGCTCTCAGCCCGGCTCCCCATCGCCTGTCTGTCCGCAGGGGCGGGGGAAAGGCACTGAACCGGGGCCTGCTTCCCAGCCTCTGGTCATCCCAGACGCCAGGGGTCAGGGATTCTCTGGGGTAGGTGAGGAGAACAGTATGGGGACCCTTCTTCGGGAGGGAGAGCTGCTGGGCTGGCATTGTGGGAGAGTTTGAGGGCTGGTCCCAGGAAGGGAACGTGAAGGTTGGGGCTGGGGGCGGAGGAGAGGGCCCTTAGCGCTGGCTAGTCCTCCTTACCTGGGGGTGGGAGAGAGGGCTCTGGGGCTGTGAGTTGAGGCAGCCTGGGGCTCTGGCCTTTCAGTGCTGGGCTAGGCTGAATAATCTGGTTGCCATGACTATGGGGAGGAGGCCGTAGCCAGCCTCACTAGTTGCTTTCTGCTTCCTTAGGGGTGTGTGGTCGATGTGGCATGGTGGTGGCATGTCCCAGGAGTCTGTGGAATGAGGGAAGTGGCTCAAAGTGAAAAGTGAAGTGGCCTCTCTCAGTTCCTCTGGGGAGTGTGTGTAACCTGACTGGGCAGAGGGTCATTAAGGGTGGGGACATGCTTTGTGGCCTTCTCTGCAAGCCAGCACCTGGGTACCTGGCTGCCCCACTCCCCGAGGCAGGGCACTGCATGGTCCTTGACCCCGACTTCCACGAGCAGGAACCTCCCAAGCCCAGTCACAGGGCACATGGACCCAGGAGCCAGGGCTCTGCTCTCAGATGGCATCCATTCGGCTCCGTTGGCAGATGACTTGGGTATTCGTGCCATGTTGAACAAGCACAGTGCACAATACGCAATCAACGCTCTACTTGATTTTGTCTCGCATGCCCCTTTACAATGCATTTGGTGGGAGAAGCTCTCCTCCTGCCCGTGGAAGGAAACTCAGCCTGTCGCAGACAATCCATTCTCTCTCAGGGAGTACAACCCTATGGTCACTTTTCCTCACAGAGCCCAGTCTTATTTCAGAAGCCAGTTATGATTCAAAAATCCAATCTTCATTTAGAATGACATCTTCTACCCTCCTCCCGCTAGGAATGGTTTCAGGTGGGCTGTGGTTCCGCTGGTGGGATCCCCTGCTCCTCCGAGCCGCCCTAGGGATCGGGTACAGGGAGGGAAGTGAGCGAGGGGCGCCCAAGTGCTCAACTGAACAGGCATCATCATCAGCTGGCTCGTGCTCTCTGAGCCTGGCAGAAGGTTTAAGCTTATTCTTTCTCTGGTGCATATTTTTGACGATTCTCGGGAAACCCTCCCCACCCTAAACCTGGGATCTCTTGCTTAGGATCCTCCTGCTACCTCTATTTCAGGAGGTCACTTGCAAGGACTTCTTCAGCCCCTCAGAATCCAGTCACGACTTCCAGCTTCCCGTAGCTTTGAACTCTCTGCCCCGCTCTCCCACAGGCCCCTTCTGGACCCCAGCAAACACGCATGTGTGCATCGTCCCGGCAGACTCCGGGGGGCGGGCTCACCCAGCACACTAGAGTCTCTGCCTCCAGCAGGTAGCTGGTCTGTCACCAGCTCGGTGTCCCGGGCAGGAGTCAGACCCCCGTCTGTTCTGTCCCACAACAGCAGGGGTGACAAAATCTCTCCAAGTGCAGCTGACACTGCTCACTAAGCTTAAGGTGAGGGGTCAGGCACCCCTAAACCCCCCTTGAGGAGGGAAGAGAATGAAACTCACAGCACAGCTTTCTCCAAAATTAGCGTCCTCACAGTGCGCTCATTCCCCAGTCCTTTAACCACCCCTGACCTGAGAACTTTCTGAACTCTTTCCTTTCTAACTGCTGCATTCGATCTGGTTGGGCGTGCAGGAGCTACCATGTCTCATTGGAAACTTCAGCTCTAATATCTTGTTATATATACATTTAAATATTATAATCAAAGATAGGCTGTGTGCTCTGTGAGCTGAACAGGAATTTAGAAGTGAGTTCATTCACCATTCACTTGCTCCTTTAGCAAATCTGGAGCCACTGGGCTCATGGTCTAGTATGGGCTTGTTCCCTGGGAGTCCGCGAGCCTCTGGGGATTTCCTGGATGGGCTTCTGGGTCTGAGAACAAGCCCTCCCTGCGCTTTGTTTCAGAAAAGGATTTTCAGAAGAGGTGAGACTTGGGCTGGTCCTTAATGGTGTTCCAGGCAGGGAAGGGTGGGGTGCTCAGGCTTGGAGGTGAAAACACACTTGGTGTCTATGCGACAGCTGGACGGACGGATGGGGTGCAGGGGGCAGCTCATGGAGGGTAGGACTGGGCGTGTGGGGAGAGAGCTTTGAGCTGGATTGTGTAGGACTTTGGATGCAGGTGTAGGAGTTGGGTTCTCGGTCCTTATTTTGTTGAGCAATCCTGGAGGCAGTATGGACCCTTAAGAGAGACATTCCACCCCTTTGGCTGAGCTGTGGCCCAAAAAACAGGGTGCAGCAGGGGCCAAGGTGCTGTTTGGAGTGCAGAGCGAGAGCCTCTCTTTGGGGTTTAGATGGGAAATCCTCTTCTCTTCCAGAAATGCCATCTCCAATCCTCTATTCCTTCCCTCCCCTGGTTCAGAGCTTTTAAGGCTCATGCCCACCTTAACTCTGGAGAACAAAGGGCAATGGCTTCAGATTCCTAGGACAGCCACCTCCTAGGGAGATGGTGAGCTCTGAAACCCCTGGTGTGGGTCAGGGAAGGTTGGCCTGAAGCAGAGCAAGGCACTGACTCTTTCTCTTGACAGGAAACAACAATAGCCTCCCCGGTTATCCTCCGTGTGGACCCCAAGGGCTACTACTTATACTGGACATATCAGAGTAAGGTGAGGCGACCCCTACTGGCAGTGACCCTGAGCTCCTGCTAATCCTTGGAGTCAAAGAAGCCTCTTGGCGATGCAGAGCTGGATGCTGGGGAGTGTACAATGACCTGGAAGAGTGGCTCTGGGGGATCTCCCGTGAGAGGCGCTATTTGCTTTGGGAGGGAGGATGCAGTCTCTCTGACCATGGCTGCCTTGGGCCTAGATGCTCCAGCCTTAGCCTCCCGTAGAGAGGGAGAAAGGAAGAAGGGCTGCGACTGAAGGCTGATTCTCTGCCTGTGGTTCCAGGTGAACTTGAGGGCTGCGAGAGACCAGAGCAGGGCCTCAGCCCCCGGACAGGAGGAAGGGAGGGAGACCTAGGGAGAGTCCAGGATGGTGGAGGCAAGACTGCAGACTACGGTCCCCAAGTAACTCAGAGTGGCCAGGGAAGGAAGGGACAGAGGGGAAGGGAGGAAGGTCACCATGAATCGGAAGAAACTGATTCCTGGGAAGGGCAGGCTGGGGTCTGGGTGGCCCAGCACAGTCTTGGAGCCTAGAGAGGGCAGCTGATGAGATGGGAAGGGATATGGAAGCCCCCTCCTCACTGCTCTGTGTCCGCATCCCTTCTTTGTTTCCACCTGGCCCCTTCCAGGAGATGGAGTTTCTGGATATCACCAGCATCCGGGACACCCGCTTTGGGAAGTTTGCCAAGATTCCCAAGGTAGGTGGGCCCAGCGTGGCTCAGGCCCCGCGTGGCCACCAGCTCCGCAGGGCTGGGGCAGGAGGCCCTGCGGAGCGAGGAAAGCTTCCTGGGCTGGGCAGCCGGACCTCCCCCTGAGCCGAAAAAGGAGGGGGCCACGCCAGCGCTTGCTGGGGCTCCATTTGGTACCATCAGCAGAGAGGTCTCAAGGCCAGCTCCTGTCCCTAAATCACCCCAGGCTGTCTGGGAGGTGCCGCTGGAGAGCACAGCCTCCCACCTCTCTGACTGGTTTGCCTGTGCTCGCCTACTGCTCCTAGAAAGATTGGAGGAAGGGATTGGTGGGAGCAGGTTTCCCCGAGACAGGGAGCTAAGAAACTATCTTCACATAACAAGTGGTAAACAAAATACACAGAGCTCCCAGACCCCGTGGCCTTGGTTAATCTCTTCCTGTGGGTTTCTCCCTCCCCGCCCCAGCCCCAGTGGGTAATCATTCAAGTGGCTGAAGGGGAGGGACAGGGAGAGCCACAGTGGTCGGGGGCGATCCTGACCATGTCACCGTCGCTGCAGAGCCAGAAGCTCCGGGATGTCTTCAACATGGACTTTCCTGACAACAACTTCCTGCTGAAGACACTCACCGTGGTGTCTGGCCCTGACATGGTGGACCTGACCTTCCACAACTTCGTCTCCTACAAGGAGAATGTGGGCAAGGTGCGCTGGGGTCCCCTGGCCTGGGGCTTGGTGCCTGGCATAGCCTGGGCTTCCTGAGAGACAGGCCTGGACCATGGGGTGGTGTGGACGCCTTCAAGGTCAAGGGCCTGACTGCTGTGCTCTGGGGCCCTGCAGGACTGGGCTGGAGATGTGCTGGCCCTGGTCAAGCACCCGCTCACAGCCAACGCCCCCCGCACCACCTTCCTAGACAAGATGTAAGTGCCTGCCTGCCTGGCCTTAGATTGTGGGGCTAAGGGTGCCAGCCTCAGGGCCTGACACGTTGCTTTCTGCCCCACCAGCCTGGTGAAGCTCAAGATGCAGCTCAACCCTGAAGGGAAGATTCCTGTGAAGAAGTGAGCCTCCTCTATTCCCTCCCCACTCTTCCGCCCAGCTCCCCAAAGCCTTCTTTCTCTAGGCTGACTCCTCTGCCCACGTCCTTTCTCTGTTCCTTTAGTTTTTTCCAGATGTTTCCTGCTGACCGCAAGCGGGTAGAAGCAGCTCTCAGTGCCTGCCACCTCGCCAAAGGCAAAGTGAGTGGTTCCCCTCTCCCCAGCTCATCCCTGTTCTTGTCACCTGAGCTGGCTCTGACCAGAGGTCAACTTGGCCAGGCCTGGTGGGGGTTGGAGAGGGAAAGAATAATAGCACAATCTCAGTAAACAGCTCAAAAGCCAGTTAGCCCTAGAGCCACTGGTTTCTGATACACAGAGGCAGAACCAGGCAAGGGGGTGAGGTGCCCTGGGTTCAGAGCAGGCTGGTCCCCTGCCCCTGGGTGGCAGTGGGGGTGGTGTTCAGGACAAGCAGCAGGTGTGGCTGCATTTCCATTCCAGCCTTGTAATGGAAGTGGAAATGAATTTTCTCCAGCCTGCAGGCCCGAGGTAAGGTTAGCAGGGACAGGAGGCAGTCTGCAGGGAGGGACTAGCTCTGCAGCGGGTAGGGAGAGGCGCAGGATCAAGTGGGTAAGCTGCTAGGACACAGACTTGAGCTCAACACAGAACACCGTTTTTTCCCTTTCTTTTGAGTTAAATAATTAATTTTTAATTACAAGGTGTATGCAGGTGTATTATGTAATACAGCCATGAGGTGTATTATGTAAATTACAAAAAGAGCCCTCTGGGCAGACGCAGCCCTGAGCCAGGGCCGGGGCCTGGCTGGCGAGTGGGTCCCAGCCCCTGTCTTGCCTGGGTCAGGCCTTTGTCCACGGGCACCACCTGTGCCTCACTGAGTCTTTTTTTCCAGGTAAGATTTTAAAACATTGCAATTAAACTAAGACCTCACTGATCACTTGCCCTCCTGAATTCCTTGAATACTTCCTCCCCAGTCACAGCTTTAGGGGGCTGGTGAGCCGTGGGTGAAATCAGCGACGGGGGGGATGCACGAGTGGGGTTGGGGAAAGATTGGGAAAGGACTCCTGCTGCGGGCCCTGCAGCCAGCTTGGCAAACTGCGGTCAATAGACCTCCCTTTCTCCTGCCTCCTCAGCTCCCGCCTTGGCTGAGTCCTCCTGATTTGTCAGCTCTGCTTGTGTCCCAGTAGAGGCCACTGGCCCATCTTTGCTTGAAGCTGATGGGTCCAAGATCCAATTGTAGGGAGATCCGTGCTAGCTTTCCTGCTGCAAACTAAGACTTCAGTATGACCCTGGAGGACGTTGATGGGTGTTTCTGGGAGGGAATCCCAGAATGCCCCTAATCTACTTTCTGTTTCTATTTCTATAGATTTGCCCATTCTGGACATTTCATGTAAAGAAATCATACGATATGGGATCTTTGATGCCAGGCTTTATTATTTAGCATAATGTTTCCACCATGTTGTAGTGTGTATGAGTACGTTATTCCTTTTTATGGCTGAATAATAGTCCATTGTATGGATATATCATATTTTGCTTATTTATGCATCTGTTGATGAACATTTGGGTAGTTTCCACTTTTTGGTTATTATGGATAATGTTGCTATGAACATTCATGTACACTATTTTGTCTGGACATACGTTTGTAGTTCTCTTGGGTATATACCTAGAGGTGGAATTATTGGATAATGTGGTAACTTTATATTTAAATTTTGAGGAAATTGTTTTCCAAAGTGACTACACCATTTTATAGTCCCACCAGTACTGTATGAGGGTTCCAATTTCTCCACATCCTCACCAACACTTGTTATTGTCCATTGTCTTTTTTCTCTTTAATTTTAGTCATCCTAGTAGGAGTAAAAAAAATTGTGGTTTGATTTGCATTTCCCTAATGACTAATCTTATTGAGCATGTTTCCATGTGCTTATTGGTTGTTTGAATATCTTCTTTGGAGAATTATCTATTCAAACCCACTGCCCATCTTTCAATTAGGTTATTTGTCTTTTACCCATGGGTTGTCCCGTCTTGCAAATATCCGATTTGCAAACACAGGGTATGGCAAAAGCAGGTTAACAGTTGTTTTTATGGAAAATAATACAATAATTAATAAATAATAATGCAAGAATAAGTTCTGTTTTGCTACTGACCTGTAACCATACTCTTGCCCCACGCTGTGTTTTCTCCCATTCTATAGATTGTCTTTGATCTTTTTCATGTTGTCCTTCAAAGTCCAAAAGATTTTAATTTCGATGAAGTCCAATTTATCTTTTATTTTTTTGTTATTGTTCTTGTGTTTTTTGGTGCCTCCAACTATTATTGCTGACTTGTCTATTTCTCCCTTTGATTCTGTCAGGTTTTACTTTATGTGTCTTGGGGATCTGTTTTTACCTGTACTATGTATATTCAAATTGCTTCTTTTTAAAAATTTGTCCTCCACTTAAAAAAAGCTAGCCCACTACTCTGGCAAGCAGCACCACTTACTCTGACCTCCTTTCCTCCTCGTTCTGGTCATTCTTAGTTCCAATCCTGCTCCAGCCAAGACACTACCCAGTGTCCAAACTGGGCAAAGCAAACCAGCACAGCTGGCTCAGCAACCAGGGGATGCGCAGCATGTCCTTAATGCTCCTCTGTCCACACTGAGCCCTCCTTCTAACCAGGCCTCGTGTGCAGGGCTGGGCCTCATTTGTGGTTCTTAGAGCCGAGGAGTTGGGGCAGAAGTGACGGGGTGGCTCTCTATCCCCCCAGAACGACGCCATCAATCCTGAGGACTTCCCAGAATCTGTCTACAAGAGTTTCCTCATGAACCTCTGTCCTCGGCCTGAAATAGACGAGATCTTCACTTCCTAGTGAGCTCCTTGGGCCGGGCTGGTCATGGCGAAGGGTTGGTGGCTAAAATTCCCACTTGCTACACTGACAGTCCGGAGTCTTCAGTGGACAAGGGGGCTGCCCGAGGTCCCCAGCCTAGAGGATGTAGGCCTGTGCTCCTCTCTCTGCCTGCAGCCACGCCAAAGCCAAACCCTACATGACCAAGGAGCACTTGACCAAATTCATCAACCAGAAACAGAGGGACTCCCGCCTCAACTCCTTACTGTTCCCGCCAGCGCGGCCTGACCAGGTGCAGGGCCTCATCGAAAAGTATGAGCCCAGTGGCATCAACGTGCAGAGGGGTGAGGACCAATGGAAGCCCTCGTCCACTGTGGGGCTTGTCCTGCTCTGACAGCTGGCCTGTGGCCCTGATTGTTATCCCCTGCCCCCCAGGCCAGCTGTCACCCGAGGGCATGGTGTGGTTTCTCTGTGGGCCGGAGAACAGCGTGCTGGCCCAGGACAAGCTGCTGCTTCACCACGACATGACACAGCCACTCAATCATTACTTCATCAACTCCTCACACAACACGTACCTGACAGGTGGGCCCTAGCCACTTCATTGCTGGCTTCTGCTTTTATGGGGGATGCTCCTGTTCCCTGAACTCCTCAAGGGGGTGCCACGGGCTTCCAACAGTACAACCCGGGGCTGGAGTAGCGTTGGGGGAGAGTCCTTGAGTGAAGTCCCTGCCCCTCCCCTTGCTCTGGCTCAGCTGGCCAGTTCTCAGGCCTCTCCTCCGCTGAGATGTACCGCCAGGTACTGCTGGCTGGCTGCCGCTGTGTGGAATTGGACTGCTGGAAGGGGAAGCCCCCCGATGAGGAGCCTATCATCACCCATGGCTTTACCATGACCACAGACATCTACTTCAAAGTAAGACTCGGAGTGCAGAGGCTGGTGGTAGAGGCCCTGGTCCCCAAGCCTTCTGGGTATGGGGGCATGAGGCAGGAGGAACAGCTGGGAGGCCTTGGACCAGTGTGGGGACTAGAGGGGATCAGGGGAGACCGGGTGGGGTGGGGCCGGGCAGCAGTGGCCCTCCAGTTCTACATGCGTGTTGAAAATGCGGAGAGGAAGTGTGCCGTTTTTTTGGCGGGGCAGGGGCAGGGAGGGGTGGGGAGGAGCATGGTGGGGCGGGGAGGGGCGGGGAGGAGCTGGGAGCACCGGCCTCCTCTCCACCGAGTTCTCTCTCATTCAGGAAGCAATTGAAGCAATTGCAGAAAGTGCCTTTAAGACCTCCCCCTATCCTGTCATCTTGTCATTTGAAAACCACGTGGACTCGTGAGTGTCCAGGCCCATTCAGCCTCATTCTCTACCCCATCCCCATCTTCTGCCTACACTGCCCTCCCCCAGCTACCCCCAGCCTTTACCCATGCCCTCCATACAATCTGAGACCCCAGGCTCTCCTGCCTGTGTCCCTGCCTCCCCGACCCCCTGTACTCCTGATGACCCCGATCAGAGGCCCGGAAGGATGGCCAAGAGGGGGCCAGTGCTGCTGAGCCCCACCCCACTTCTGCTCCCTGCAGACCCCGCCAACAGGCCAAGATGGCTGAGTACTGCCGGACAATGTTTGGCGATATGCTGCTCACAGAGCCCCTGGAACAGTTTCCGGTGAGTGGACTTCACTGTGGGGCATCTGGGGCTGGGGGCTGGGGGCCACCGGCACGGTGGGGGCCAGGTTAATCATGTGTCAGGCACTGTGCTGGGCTTTGGGGGTACATTAGTGACAAGGATGCAGTCCCAGCCATCAGCCTGCTTACTCACTAGTGGGGAGACAGACAAGGAACCTGGCCGTGACAATCAGTGGCTGCTATGGGGGTACCTGGGGAGTCATGGTCTGGTCTTGGTGGTCAGGGAAAGCTCCCTGGAGAAAGTGATGGCTGGGCTGAAACCTAAGGGAGATATTGGATTTACATTGGTGAGAGTGGGGAAAAGGAGTTCTAGGCAGACAGATAGGCGAGAGAGAACATCACTGAGGAACTGGGGCAAGTTGGGCCAGGCAATGATTTAGTACATGACGGGGAGTGAGGAGGGGCGAGGCTGGAGAAAGAAGTAGGCAGGGGAGGACGGGGCGTAGCTTGGTATGGAGGGACTCAGGCTACACCCTGAAGGTGAGGAGATGGTGCTGACACTCTCTCCTCTCCCACAGCTGAAACCAGGCACCCTCCTGCCCAGCCCTGAGGATCTCCGTGGCAAGATCCTCATCAAAAACAAGAAGAACCAGTTTTCTGGCCCAGCATCCCCTGGCAAGGAGCCAGGTGGGGAGGCTGAGGGCAGCGGCCTACCTGATACCCCTGTGGTTGGGGACACAGGTGAGTCAGCCTGCGAGGAATGGGGCTGGCATGGGGGTGAGGGAGCATCTGGGATGGGAGAGAGGGGCTGGGCCTGGGGGGCACGTGCTGGGGAGCCAGCCTGGTGTGGGGGTCTCCCTCCAACCAGTGCTGACGGAGTTGTGTGTGGCAGTGTGGGCTGGTGAGGAAGGGGCTGAGCTGGAGGAGGAAGAGGAGGTGGAAGAGGAAGAGGAGGAGTCAGGAAACCTGGATGAAGAAGAGATAAAGAAGATGCAATCAGATGAGGTATGTGGAGACAGCCGGAGGCCCTTTGGCCATCTCTACTGTAGAGCCCTCCAGGCGGGATGTGGGGCCGTGTCCCCGGGCTCTGTGCTGTCCTGTTCTCCACCCTCTTCTCTCTTCCTTAGGGCACAGCGGGCCTGGAAGTGACAGCTTACGAGGAGATGTCCAGCCTAGTCAACTACATCCAGCCCACCAAGTTCATTTCCTTTGAGTTCTCTGCCCGTAAGTTTGCAGGGGGTGGTGGTCAGCTGGAGGTTCAGCTAAATTCAGAAGGCCCTCAGAAAGCGTGTCCTGATACCAGGCAGTTTGATGGGAGGGGGTAAGAGGAAGAGGAGTCCTCCCCCTTCCAGGAGCCCTGTCTATAAATATTCATCAGAGGAGTCAGGCAACGGACTTGTTTAAGTGGCAGTGGCTCCCATTTCCCAGCACAGTATGTACTGAGGAATTTGGCACCGAGCAGAATGCTCTGGAATATGTCGGTGACAGGCAGGTCATTTATGACAGGCCACCTCACTGGGGCTGGCCTGGGGCTCCTGCAGCCTCCTGGAGGTTCTGTGACTCCTAAGCCCAGAAACCCCAGCCTCAGGGTCTGAGAACTCCTGGAAGGGGGTGGAAGGCAGAGAAAACAGCCAGCGCACATCTATTCCTTGTACCCTTTCCTTTCTGTGGACGCCATGTTATTTATCTCCTTCAGACATATGCACAGGGCCTTCCTCTCCCTCTCTGTGTGTGTCCCCGACATGATCACCTCTTTCTATATACACGTGTACACAGTGTATACATCTTTTTTCCTTGCCCCTGTGCCCACAGCCTGCACCCCTACCTGTGCTCACCTGTGGCATGCGCCCCCCTTGGTGTGTACCTCCCACCCCGCACCCGCCCTTCCTGTTTAGACCCTGTGCATCACAGAGAGTTCCCGATTCCCTGGGCTCATCCTGGCATGTTCCCCACACCCTCTAGGACTGTGACACACACCCAATCCCTGTGCATATCCACTACACATGCCCTTTCCCCCCAGCACACACTGTTACCCACGACAGATCTGCACATCTCCAGCCCCCTGGACGCCCCTCCCCTCCCTGAACCCTCCAAACTCCGAAACGCTGGAGATAGCTGTACCACAGGGGAGGGCAGGTCCGAGGGACTACCTCGGCGTGACATGGACTCCCCTGCCTTTTTGTCCCCCACACAGAGAAGAACCGAAGTTATGTCATCTCCTCCTTCACGGAGCTCAAGGCTTATGACCTGCTTTCCAAGGCCGCAGTGCAGTTTGTGGAGTATCCTTGAGGCCTCAGTAGACGGGATCCCTGATTGGGGTGGAAGGATGGGGACAGGGTTTGAAGCGGGGGCTGTTGGGTACTCCTGATGCCGCCCCAGGTTGGCCTCCTATACTCTGGGGCAGCTACAACAAGCGCCAGATGAGCCGCATTTACCCCAAGGGCACCCGCATGGACTCCTCCAACTACATGCCCCAGATGTTCTGGAACGCTGGTTGCCAGATGGTCGCCCTCAACTTCCAGACGATGGGTGAGGGTACTCCCAGGCTCTTAAGAACCTTCCCTTGCCCCTCCCACTTTTACCCCATTCCTGGGAGTGGTCTTTAGAACAAGCCGGGTGTCCGGATGTTTGTTTAGACTCGGGGAGCACAAGCAGGTGTGTAAATATTTCGGGACAGAAATGCATTAGCGCATGCCTATATGACTGCACGTTTATGAGTGTGTAGGTGAGGGTGCCAGGGTGCTGGCTTGGGTCCTGGCCGTGCTCTGAGTGGGCCCGTGGGAGCACCTCACAGGCCTCAACCCCCACTGTGAGCCTGAGGCCTGGCCGTGGCTTTGGCTCTGCCAAACTCCAGGTTGTGGGCCCTTCCTGAGAGAAAAGACACCCTAAAAAACCAGGCTAAACCCTCGCTGGTATGGCTCAGTGGATTGAGTGCCAGCCTGCGAACCAAAGGGTCACCGGTTCTATTCCCAGCCAGAGCACATGCCTGGGCTATAGGCCAGGTCCTCAGTAGGGGGCGCATGAGAGGCAACCACACAGTGATGTTTCTCTCCCTCTCTCCCTTCCCCTCATTCTAAAAATAAATAAATAAAATCTAAAAAAAAAAAAAGAAAAAGAAAAAGGAAAAAAAAAAAGAAACCAGGCTAAGACACAAGAAGCCCTCATGCCCATGGTCTGTTCAACCTCCTCATTCACAAAACGGGAGAAAGACTGTGACATGTGGAAATAGAGACTGGGTGGAGACACAGGGTTGGGTCTTCCTCACTAAGTGCCCTTGTGCCCCCAGACCTGCCCATGCAGCAGAACATGGCACTATTTGAGTTCAATGGGCAGACCGGCTACCTCCTCAAGCATGAATTCATGCGTCGGCCAGACAAGCAGTTCAACCCGTTCTCAGTGGACCGCATCGACGTGGTGGTAGCCACCACCCTTTCCATTAAGGCAAGGCCCTGAGATGGACAAGTGGCCAGGAGGGTTGGGGTCTTGAGGAGAAAGACACAGGAGTCCCGCTCCTCTACTCCCAACCCCCTCCCCTGATTATCTTGAAAACTTCAGCCCCAGCCAGTTCGAGCAGTAGCAAGTTGCCTTGGAAACTGCCTCCTCCTCAACCCTGGAAGCTGCTTCTTGGTCCCCATGGAAACCAAGGGGAAGGGCTGAGGCTGGGGTGGGGGAAGGGGAGAAGAGTGGGCAGAAAGGGGCAGCAGGAGCCCCAGGCCCTGGAAGAGAGCCCTGTTCCTTCTTTGCCTGGGAAGGGAGGCCCACACCCCTTCCCAGAATGCTGGGAGCTCCCTAGTTACCAATGCTTAGCTGTAGCCCTTGAGACACACAGCCTCTACTCGGTGGCCACAGCTGAGTGGGGCTCTTCGCAGTACCCAAGAATGGATGCTTCAGCTAGAGAAGCTAGAGGCCTGGGGTGCTGGGGAATGGCCTGGGTTCTGGAGCTGATGCGCGCCTCTCACGGGCCCCCACCTCCAGGTAATCTCTGGGCAGTTCCTGTCAGAACGCAGTGTGCGCACCTATGTGGAAGTGGAGCTGTTTGGCCTTCCTGGGGACCCCAAGAGGCGCTATCGCACCAAGCTGTCACCCACTACCAACTCTATCAATCCTGTCTGGAATGAGGAGCCCTTTGTCTTTGAGAAGGTGAGGGACTAGGGCAGGGCAGGGGCTGGAGTCTGGGCAGCGTAAGGGCTGTCCCTAGTTCTTGACCTCTCCTTATGGAAAAAGGAAATACGTGAAAGGTGTTCCTGATCCTCCTCCTCTCCCCACCCCTTCCTTTGTGCCCTCCTGAATTTCGGGAGTCCAAAAGCAAATTTACAGAAATATACTTGGTGGGCAGGTTGTGTGTGTGCGCGCGCGCACACATGTGCATGTGTGCACGTGAGTGTTCATGTGAGGATCAAAGGCAGAAATGTGAACTCCCAGGCCAGAGTGTAAGGTCCCTTGGGTCACTGCAGGTCTTTTGCCCCTACTGGATACTTGCTGACAAAGCCATCACAAGCTGTCTGCACCAGGATCCCCAGAGCCCTGGGCTGCATGTCCAGCCCTTCTTCCCTGGGCGGACCAGCCATGGCATGAGCTGTGAGGATGTCTATGTGTGTGTGGCCTAGAGTGTGCCCTCTGTCCTCACCAAATCTCATCATGTCTGCCATATTCTCACAGTGACCCTAGACTTTGGAAACTAGGGATGGGGTCAGCTTGGCTTCTCCTTGCCACCTTGTCCTGTCCTGAACTCTCCCCAGATCTTGATGCCTGAGCTGGCCTCCCTCAGGGTGGCCGTGATGGAGGAAGGCAACAAGTTTCTTGGGCACCGCATCATCCCCATCAATGCCCTAAATTCTGGTAAGTAGGGCTCCTTCTTTGCTGTTTGCAGCAGGTCTGAGGCCAGATGCAGCACCAGGAGCCTGCCCAGAGGGTGGGCCAGCTTCAGGGAGGCGGCCCTGAGACCACCTGACTTTTTTATGTTCTCAGCCCTAAGGAGTGGAGCAGGAATAGTACTTCTTCAGGAAACACAGAGCTGGGGACTCTGGCCACCTAACAGAATGTCTGTAATTTTCTGAAACCACGCGGGCAATTTTCCAAGTAGCTGACACTTATTAGACACTTAAAATGCTTTAAGAGCTTATATCGTTCTCCCTTAATCCTAACAGTTAACCACCTGAGGTAGACTACTATCCCCGTTTCACAGATGAGGAAAGTCTCGGAAGTTTACAGTAACTTGCCCAAGGACACACAGCCAGGAAGGTGCAGGACCAGGCTCGGACTCTGGCCTCTCTGACGCTAAAACCAGAAGCCTGGCAGGCGGGGCTGCTGGCACGCAGTGTGGGGTGGCAATGGGCTCTGCTCACTGCCCACCCTCTCATGCCCCGTAGGATACCACCATCTGTGCCTGCGCAGTGAGAGCAACATGGCCCTCACCATGCCAGCGCTCTTTATCTTCCTGGAGATGAAGGACTATGTTCCTGACACCTGGGCAGGTGAGGAGGCCCGAAGAGTGCTGGGAACCTGGGGCTATCCATTTCCTCTCCCCCGTCCTTAAGTGAGCCTCCAGAGTGGGCAAGGACAGGGTGTGCTGGGGTAGGTGAGGACGGGGGAGGCTTCCGGGTACTCTCCATACCAGGTCTGAGATGCTCCTGTGCACCCAGATCTCACTGTGGCCCTCGCCAATCCCATCAAGTTCTTCAGTGCCCATGATAAGAAGTCTGTGAAGCTCAAGGAAGCCATGGGAGATCTGCCTGAGGTCTGTGTTGCTGGGTCCTTTGCCAGGGGCCCCCAGGAGCTTTGCCCTCTCTGTGGGAAGATGAGGGAGGGGGCAGAGTCCAGGCCTCGCGCAGAGAGGGCTGTTGGGGACATCTTCCTAACTTGCTCTTCCTACACAGAAGCCCTTCTCTCTCGGGAGTCCAGCTGCCAGCCAGGTCAACGGAGCAACTGCCCCAACCAGCAATGGGTCAGCAGGTATGCATTGCGAGGCCCTCGCACCTGCTGGGAAAGGTCCTGCCTTCTTTGGCTGCATCCATAGGCACACCCCAACCTAGCGACAGAGCTTTGAAAAACAGGCTTTAACCTGGGGAAGGGAACACTGGGTCTGAAACCTCGGCGCTGAGAAAGGGCATCGCAGGGGGCCCATACTGACGCCCCCAGCAGGCTGGGTGAGGCAGAGCTGGGCCAGGGGACCCCAGGGCACCCATCAGCCCGCCCTGTGGCTGTTGCAGCAGTTGGGGCCTGTGCCAGGGAGGAGGCCACGAAAGAAGCTGTGGGTAAGGCCTGCTGAGTCCGAGTAGTTTTGGGGACGAACCTAGGGAGGGTTCGGGACGAGTGAGTAAGAGGGGGGCTCCTGGGCGGCGGGACGCCTCACTGGGGTCCCCGCAGAGCCGCGGACCACCAGTCTGGAGGAGCTGCAGGGGCTGAAGGGCGTCGTGAAGCTGCAGCGGCGGCACGAGAAGGAGCTGCGGGAGCTGGAGCGGCGCGGCGCGCGGCGCTGGGAGGAACTGCTGCAGCGCGGCGCGGCACAGCTGGCGGAGCTCGGGCCGCCGGGCGCGGGGGGCGGCTTCGGGGGCCGCAGGCTCGGCCCGGGCAAGGGCTCCCGCAAGAAAAGGTAATGACAGTGGCGACGAGCTGGCCTCCGTGGGGCAGGTGCCGGCGACCTAGAGCTCAGCACCTGTTCCCACGTAATCTCCACAGGACGCTGCCCTGCGAGGAGACCGGCTGGGCCACGCTGGGCGAGGGCCCCGAGGGCGCGGAAACGCTCGTCCGCGAGCTGAGGGACCGGCTGGAGCTGGAGCTGCTGCAGCAGGGCGAGGAGAAGTACGAATGCGTCCTGAAGCGCAAGCAGCAGCAAGTGGCCGAGGTGCCAGGGTCGTGGAGGGGAGAGAGCTACCACCAGACCAAACCCACACCCTCTGCGCAGCAAAGGGCTTCACGCTAAGCCAATCTTTCCTCCCCCTGCAGCAAATCGCCAAGATGATGGACCTGGCCAGAGAGAAACAGGTTGCAGAGCTTAAGACCCTCAAGGAGACCTCGCAGAGGTATGACTGCCTCCCTCCCACGCCTGACTCTTGGGAGACAGACATCAGGGCTCAGGCCCCCACAAAACATCTCCTTGATGCCTGTCTCTCTGCAGTGACACCAAGGAGATGAAGAAGAAGCTGGAGGCCAAGAGGCTGGAGCGGATCCAGGCCATGATCAAGGTCACCACCGACAAGATGGCCCAGGAGAGGTGAGTCCTGGAGGAGAGGCCCAGGACTCTAACTCCAGGCCCAGTGCTGAGCAGGAACCACTCCCCCACACGTGGGTCCTGGCTCGCTTTCCAGAGGTGTGTCTGTCTCCTGGTCCTTGAAACTTGATTTTACTTCTATCACCTCTGATTAGCATGACCTCCTTATGCAAAACACAGATGCCAACACTATTTGACCAGGGAGGAGACTTTAAAGGACAAATCAAGCATGCAGAGAGAGGTGAAATCTTGGGACAGCAGCTTCCCACCTGGGCTTTCCCGTGCACCTTGAAGGACAGGGCGAGTTATTGAGGAAGCCCTTCCTTCAGAGGGCCCCAGAACTTTCAGTAGCCCCTCAAATCCTCCTTGGGTCCCCGTGTCACCCTGTGGCTTGTCCCTACCCTTATTGTAGAGTCCTCATTTGGTTCTGAGGAGCCTTTGTCTCATCCTGCCCTTCCCAGGAGCCTCCTGCCCCCTCTGAAACTCTCATTACCCCAACAGATTGAAAAGAGAGATTAACAACTCCCACATCCAAGAGGTAGTACAGGTCATCAAGCAGGTAGGTAATGCTGTGCCCTTCCCAAACACACACACTCTTGGGCAGCATAAGGGCGGTCCCTAGTTCTTGACCTCTCCTTATGGAAAAAGGAAATACATGAAAGGTGTTCCTGGTCCTCCTCCTCTCCCCACCCCTCCCTTTGTGCCCTCCTGAATTTTGGGAGTCCAAAAGCAAATTTACAGAAATATACTTGGTGGGCAGGTCTTCCCAAACACACACACACACACACACGTACATGCGTGTTCATGTGCTCTCCAATAGGAGAGCAAGGGTGGCATTAGACGTCTAGTTTGCTGTTAGGAGATATACTGTCCAGAGCATTCCACGCAGCTAAGGAAGGCGGGAGGCAGTGCAGGGCAGGGGAGCCCTAGGCCAGCCTGAGGATCTGGTCTTACTGTGGAGATTGGCTTACCAGCCTAAAGGGGGTGTTTCCCTGCCCAGCAGCCCTGAATGAAAATGACATAAGCGAGCTGGGGCAGGGGGGATGGCTGGATGAGAGGGAGCGAGGGGTGCTTCCTGAGGCTCCAAGGAGCTGGAAGGGAAAGGAAAGCTCTGTTCAGAATGGACCTAAAGCTCTCCTGGGGATTAACGACCGTAACAGAACTACCAGCTACTGAGTTATGACCTTGTGCCAGGCACTAAGCCAGGTGCTTTCTGTGAACTGTCTCATATAAACTTTCATAATCCAGTGAGACAGGTAGTATTATCCTCATTTCACATATTAAAAAAAAAAAAAAAACACAACAAAAAACTCAAAACAAAAACCTGTTCGCAGGTTAAGGAATTTACCTTAAATGTTATAGCTGGTTAACTGGGATCGTAGCTGGGTGCCAACCCTGAGCCTGTCTCTGCTGCCCTGATTCCCTGCCTCTCACTCCCACCCAGATGACAGAGAGCCTGGAGAGGCACCAGGAGAAGCTGGAGGAGAAGCAGGCAGCCTGCCTGGAACAGATCCGAGAGATGGAAAAGCAGGTGACAGGAACCACCACCCTGGCCCCCAGCAGAGTTGGCCTGGCTCCAGGGTGTAAAGGGGACCTGCTCCAGGGAGCTTCCAGTCAGGAGCTCAGGGGAAGGGGGACTCACCCCTCACCAGTGGGTCATAGGCTCTGGTTTCCCCTGGGACCCTAGGGCCCTCTCACATGAGGCAGCTCTTCAGATCTCTTTGCTTGATTGGCACCCTCTCTCCTGAGAGGCTCCCTGAGGGTCTCCACTATGCTCTACCCTCGTCACCTGGGAGCTCTGAAAAGACTGGGCATGTCTTTGTTCCACTGTGGGGTGGGGGAGTGGGTACGTTGTCCCTCTTGAGCCAGGCAGTGGTCCTTGCTGTCCCCACAGCTCCAGCAGGAGGCGCTGGCAGAGTACGAGGCCAGGATGAAGGGCCTGGAGGCCGAGGTGAAGGAAGCAGTGAGGACCTGCCTCAGGCCCTGCTTCCCCTCGGAGGCTGAGGACAAGCTTGAGAGGCCCTGTGGGACCTCCAGGGAGCCGTGTGAGCTGGACCCACCTACAGCCAAGAAAGACATCCAGGAGAGCATCCTCTGATACCCCCATCCAACTGGGACATTCTGCAAGGACATGTCTCCTTCCCTTGGAGGAGGCTCCATACTCCCAGCAAGAAAGGTCCCAGCAGCCCCAGCAGCCCCAGCAGTCTGAGGCTGTGGGAAGCTGGGGTTCCCTTGGACTCCAGAGCACCCTCCTCGACAGCCAGGCCAGAGGGGGAGGCAGGGGCCAGATACCATGAGGGCAGGGGCACATCAGAGGCCTAGAGGTCCTCTAAGCTGGCTTCCTGCTCCTCATTTGTCTCCTCCTGGAATTAGTGTCACATATTTGTTGAGGGCGAAAGAATATGGATTGGGAGGCAGCACATGGGGTCCTGGCCTCACCCTGCCTTTCCTAGTGTGCAACTAGTGGCGCCCCTCTCTCGGATCAGTTTCCTCATCCGGACCGCTAGAACCTGGCCACCTGGAACCTCCGCTTGAGCGCCTGTAGCCCAGGCAGGACCCTCTCTGCCATAAGGCCAGCAGCTCACCCAGGCTTCTGGGCCCCGTCTTGGGCCTGCCCTGGGTGGGCCTCATTATTGGCTCCCTGGTACAGAGCCTGGCCCTACCTCCAAACTCCCCGGGGGACTGCTGCCCCTAGGGTCCCAGGCTGAGCTCCCTTCCCTGGCTTCCTGCCTGTAGGGGATGGGAGGCTGACATGAAAAAGTGGCCTCAGCTGCCTGGTCCTCAGGCCACTGAGACACCTGGAGCTGCAGCTGGTGGCGAGGGGAGAAGGATGGCCTTTTGGGCACTCTCCCTCCCAGGGCCTGGCTCACCCCTTTTTCTAGGTTTGGGGGGCTATTTCCTGGCATGTAGCCCCACCCAGGCTGCCTGACAAGGTCAGCATCATTTTCTCTCCTGGTTTATTTATTTTTCTCCTTACCCCTACTAAAGAATCTTGTTCCAATATTTCCTGCCTAAGCCTGGCCTCTGTTCTACAGCTCAGAAAAGGGGAGGAGGCGAGTGGAATGCCCTGAAATGAAGCAGGCTGGGGAAAAACCCTTGGGAGCTGGACCCCGGGGGCAAGGTGGCCTCCAAGTCCAGTGGAATGGCCCTGCCTCTAGGCTTGAAGAGGATTCACTTCCCCTTCTTCCCTCCCTGATGCCACAACCACTAAAAAATGATGTCACGCCTCCTCCACCTCTGCCCAGATGGGGCCCCTCCTTGTGTCTGCCCTCAGGGCTGGTGCAGAACAGCCTATGCAGAAGTATGCGGCCAACCCTCTTGGGTAGTCGCAAACCTTCAGGCCACCTGCGTCCCTGTAAGCACACTTACAGTGGTCCGGTTCTCAGGCCCCTGTGGCAGTTACGGTTGACCCCACACTTGCTGCAGAGGGGCTTGTAAACATCCATTCACTGCACCTATGACGTGGTCCCAAATCTGGGGACGGGGACATGCACTGGCTTGGGAGAGGCAGGGTGAGGGTTGATTTCTGGGAAGAGGTTGTTTTCTTAACAGAGTTATAGCAAATGCCATTAGCTGTGAGCACCTGTGCCTCTGGAAAATAAACAGGAACCACCCCACCCCCGTGGGGGCCTGACCTCTGGGATCCTAGCAGTTCCTGGCTGCAGGGCGAGGCTAAGGATCTGCTCATTCCCAGGAGTAAGGCCTGTCATCAGTCAGCCTGCACACACACCGGATACGGCTGAGGGCGGCACCCTGTCTTCAGTCCTCTGGCTGCCCTATCCGCCCTCCAGCCCAGGGGTAGCACCCAGGCCTAGGGAGACTCACTGACCCAGACAGGGGGCATAAGCCAGAGCCAGCACCAAATAGAGCCCATTGGGCAGTGCCCAGCTGGTGACAATGAGTGTTCAGGGGAAGGAGGGGCTGCTTTCCCCTGCTTTTCTAAGCCAGGCCTGGCAGTCTCTGGGCCCCTAGTGTGGAGCTGGGAAGCCCAGGAATGGGGGAGCAGACAGTCCTGCCTCCTAGAGAGGCCTCTGCACAACAAACTGGGGGCCTCCAGGCCCAGGTACCGCCCTCCCCGCTTTCTGTTCTCTTTGAAAAGAGCAAGGTGCCCTGGGAAAATACCGTCGTCTCTGGGCCCTGGAGGTGAATTAATCTCTGGCATCAGGGGATGTGCAAAAGAGTTTACCTCCCTCGGGGCACTGGGCAGGTGAAGGACACCTGGGGTCCATTCCTGCTGGGGATCTATGGGGCTGGGCAAGGTTCCTGGTCTACTTACCATGCCTCGGTTTCACCTTTTGCATATAGAAAGGGGTCCCTACCCCCTTCCCAATCTCACTGCTGATTCAGATGCCAGAGTCCCCTGTTGACTCACCGGTGCCCCCCCCACCTCTCCCCTCTTCCTCCTGCACCACCCCCCACCCCCACCCCAAGCTCTCTAGATCTCCCAGCCACGTGCCACCAGGCCCAACCCTGCTGAGCTGGTGCAACGTGACAGGGTGAGGGGGTTGGTGACACTTGAGGAGAAAAGAAGGGGGTCTGGGGGGTGGGCAGCTGCAGACAGAGTGACAGACTGCAGACCTGAGCCGTCTTTGCAAAAAAGCCCTTTGCCAGTCTGGGGCCAGCGAGCGGGGGAAGAGACTCAGCAGGTGGGAGGGGAGGAGGGCGTGGAGAGCTTGCCTGCCCCCTGCTTGCCTCGGCTCTATCTCCTGTCAGCCTTCAGCTCCCTAAGCGACAGCTTCTAATTTGGGCTGTTGGTGTCTCTGTGCTCTGCAGCAAAGTTTCAGCTTTTTTTCAGCTTTGCTATTTCTTTTCTGTTCAGAACATACTGAGCCCACAGGCAAATCAGAGCAAAGGCTCGAGGACCTGAGACCTGACACCCGCGGCCACCCTTTCCCCCATCCCACCACAGGCTGGGCCTGATTGGCAAGGCCACCTGGGGCAAATGGAGCTGGCTACTCCTTGCAAAGAGCACCCAGCATGGGGCTCTCTAACAGGCCAGGGTGAGGCCCTCAAGGGGAACTTCCTCAGCTCCTCTTCTTCCGTGGAACTGTCTCCATCCTCCACAGGCAACAGACGTAAATGAGGCAGAGCTGTCTCACGGATCATCAGCGGGGGAGAGAGACCATGGCTCTTTAGGACCAAAGCGCCCAGTCGGTGTTCCTACTATTTCTCTCCTCCATGTGGGGGTGTCACTGCCTGGCTGTAGGATGGCCTACCCCACACATTCCAGGCGTACCCCTGCCCTTACCCTGAAAACAGAAGAAAAGGAAGAAAGCAATTTCCTTCATGGTGGAGAAAAGGGAAATTGAGTCATGACAGGTGGAAAAGCCTTTCTTCTGCTGTCTGAGTAAAGAGCTCAGAGAGCATTCCTGTCTTTATGGGGTTGGAGAGCCTATATCCACCCCTGGGAGACACCCAGGAGGGGCCCCAGGTCTGGGGGCAGGACTGGGCTTTCTGTGTGCCGGATAATTGTGTAGCTCTTTTCCTGACACTTTCTAGCAACATCTTGCCTGATGCAGGCAGTGTAGTATTATTGGCTCCATTTTGCATGCGGAAATATGCAGGCTTGGAGCAGCACTGCTAGTAAATGCCTTCAAGCTGGGTATTAATTCTGATGTCAAATACTGGCAGAGCCATGAGCAGGATTAAAAAATGCAAAAAGGAAAAAGAGGGGCTTCACAGTGTGTGCAGGTATGCATCCCACGCTCCCTCAGGACAGGCTCCCCTGGGGCCTGGGAGCTGGAAAGAAGCAAGAAGTTCAAGGTGCAGGCCCATGTGCCCATTCTGCCACTCACCCACACACCGTCTTCTTCCTAGAGGCAAATCCTCTCCTTGCCCCATACCTTTCCCCAGGCAACTCCTTCTGCAAAGCTTCTTGTCACTGCTCTGCCCAGGCTAAGGACAATTTTATCTTTCTCTCGATTTCCTGTCTTTCACAGGAAGGGACTTTTCAAAGCATTCCCTCAACAGGGTCCCTTCAAGCTGTTTTTCTTGCCTCCCTGACCTTGCCTCAGTAACCCCCACAGCTCCACCTTTTCCTCTAAGGGCTGTCTCCGCTTGTATTGAAGAGATAAATTCAGCCCTGAGGTGGTAAACTCCACTTTTTATGTCCCACTTGAGAGGGGAGATCTTTTCCATCAGAAGTGAACGTCTGCTCTTCCCACAGCTGGAAACACAATACCTGGCTCGTGAAAAGTATCAGTAAATTCTGTAGCTAATACCTGATCCACCTTCCATTTTACAAATGTCAATTTCAACCCTACACACCCTCCCTCATCCCTCTGGCTCGAGGCGGCCCGACTTCCCCAGGCCTGCGCCCCCCGCCCCCCACCCAGGGCCAAGCAGCTGGCCAGAAGGAGACTGGAGGCGTTGGTTTTTCCACGCCCTATTGACTCGGGCTCTCTTCTCCCTCTCCGAAGGGGTCAGCTAGTGGTGAAGGTCAGAGCCTTGTGGTCTGGGGGTGGTTTGGTGCTCAGGAGGGAAATGGGGACGGGGTGCGGGGAGCCTTGCGTGAGTCCCCCGATCTTTGCTCTTTCCGGGAGGGCGGCCCGTCCTGAAGCAGGGAGACGGCGGCGCCGGGTCGTCGCTACTGCGGCTGCGGCGCTCCGGAATCCTGAGGCGCCCGCTCTGCCAGCTTCTCCAGCCTCCGGGAGCTGGCAGGCGGGCGCGCTGTAGGGGTTGGAGACGTCTGAGATTGGAGAGCGCACTCTCCCCCTACCCCCACTCCGAGTGAGCCTGTGCGGGAGGAACAATTGTGAGTGCGTGGTTCGCTACCCGAGTGGCAGTTCCCAGCCAGACTGAGCGCCCCCATCCTGCGCGCAGCACAGCTACCCTTTCGCCCAAATTACTCCCAGCCCGCCGCTCGCAGCCACCCTAGCTCGCTTATGGTGCAGTTCTGTTCTCATGGGGTACCATTTCCTTCCACCAGGACCGCTGGGGGCAACGCCCGGGCTTCCCCGACGGTCCCGAGGTCCGGCCAGTTTCTAAGGAGGCTAGGGCACAGGCTCAGATGGGAGAAGAGGGCGGGGAGAGAAGACTGACTTTTGGATTGGCCCGATTGGGTGCATGTGGCCCACAACGAGCAGCCCCCGCCACCGCCCGCAGCTGCTGCTGTAGCCCCAGGGGAGCGCGGAGGAGGAGCCGCTCCCGCA